GCTGCCTCCACTTGGCAAGATGTCTTCTACATGATGTCCGCTGTTTTTGTCGTGAATTTTGCTCTCCTTGCCATTTACTTGTTGTTTGCGTGCTCAGTGAACTTCATTCGACGACTATGGTGAGTTGTAAGACGGAAGTCCCGTTGAGCAGTGTAGTCTTCGTTCCCAGTCTACTCTCGTTATCGATAGCGTGACGTTTGAGTTCTCCTTCGTCACTCACCACAGACCTCAAACGTACACTCTATATCTGAAGGTCGCAGGTGATTTTCAAGGGGATTTTGAGCTAATTAGCTGCATGTCGCTACCTTGTGACACAGCAATCGGGCTCTAAGGACAGCAGACAGGTCAGAGACTTGCGCACGCCAGGAAAACGTGCCACACCGGGTCAATAACAGCAAACGCAAATAATGCAATGAACCAATCGTCGATTGAAGAGAAAGAAAACTTCAGTCAATCATCAGCGGGGGAAACATGTTTGGACCAGAAGGGTTTGCATTTGACTGGATTTTGATTGACTACTCCAAACGACTTAAAGGAGCTATATCACAGTTTGCGCATCTTGAAAGTTCAGCCTAAATTTTTCAATTAAGTTCGTCGTTTGTAATCCGTGTTAATCTTCTCCATCCTTGACCATCCGTGTTCCTTTATGGTTTATTATGATCTCTCTAGTGTTTTTCTATCTTAGTAAATTGTTATTTTCAGGTTTCCGTCACTGAAAATGTACTTCTGTACCTGGCCAAAATAACTCAAAACACCGTGACTGAGCTACTTTAAGTAGGTATTCATCGCTCGTGTGCTGTAATCTGATTGGTCAGTTTTATTTAAGCGACCCCGGACACCGTAGCCGCAATTAACACATGTTTGCTTCGATCAGTTGTTAATATTGATAACTGTAAACCCACAGTTATCAAGAGTTACCCACCTTATGAAACTAACTCATTTAATGGTTTTCGTCTTGCAGGCAAGCTCGCAAAGACAGGACAACTGCGGCAAATTTACCCCCTGCTCCAAAGAAACCAATCTGGCGGCCAAAGCTGAAGAAAAAGCGCAGAAAGAACAAGAATAGCTGGTAGCACGGCGCATTTACATTATTGACTTTTTTCGTTTGAAAAAAAAAAGAAAAAACTTTCTGAATTGTTCTGTTAATATAACAATAACGTTAAAGTTCTCTGAAAAAACGAAATAAACAAAGTTATTGGAAACCAGCAGATTTTTTGCCTGGATTTTGACCGTTTGGGCTGGTAGTTCAGGGGCTGGGGAGAAATAATAACCCCGATTTCACTTCGATGTCCCCCCTTCCCTTGAGGAGCCTCTGTGGAGGAGAGAGTCAATGTTCTATATATAAAAAAAATGTAGATATAAAGACAGAAGGTAAATGTAGTCGAGTTTCACGCACTAAGCGATCGCTAAGACTCCTGTGACAAGAGCATCGTCATATCTTTAAATTAATTTTTAATTCAAACAGACCCTTACAGCAAAATACAACCTAAATCTGATGAGTTAAAAACGTTTTTCTAACATTTTTCTTCCGACAAAGCTAAACAGCACGAGAACTTTAGACCAGCATGTAAAAAGTGTGTTAGTGATGATGACCTCTCAGAACCTTGAGAAGGGTCCAGTGCAGTTAAAATGACGCATTTTAGTTTCCGAAGTCTTCTTGTCTCTTACAACAGCGAACAAATAAGGGGTAAAGTAACACATTGTCACAGAAGTTAAAATAAAACCTATAAGCATGTGCTTCCTCCATTTCTTCTTCCAAACCCGCACCACAGCGATATTTAAATATGACATTTGTAGCCAAAACGAGAA